GCTGGTCTTTCTTGGACGCCCTGGAGCCTTTTTGGCAACAATGGAATTTCTCTCCTTGAAGTTCATTTTCTAGGAAAATATTGACTTTGCAATTAATTGCTGTTAAGCTGATCACGCTTTATAACATTCTGGAATATGTGCAAATTGCCATTATAAAAACTGAAGCAGTAGACTTTGTAAAAATTAACATTTGAATCATTCTCAAAACTTCTGGCCATGACTGTACAATCTTTTTAAATCTACACATTCATGTCATTTTTTTGTTTATATCAAGCAGTTCTGCTCCCATGTGCAGGAGCTGAAAGCACCGACCTGACCTGCTGTTTCAGTTCTGTGAATAATATTTCTATCTGGACGACACTGAGTCGTTTGACATCTGTTTATAGAATTGTGCTGAGAGTGAGAAAAATATAATGACTAAATCTGACACATCTGAACGGGTGGGTGGGACGTGCGCTGCGACAGATTTTGGGTAATTTGGATTCCGCCTTTTGTCTCCAAGAGATTATACCAAACACGATGAKGCGTTTTTGTCACAACTTTGAGCTGTCGTTTTGTTGGAATAATCACGCTCCATTGTGCTGCTGATTAAAGTTTTTAAAAAAACTGGAGCGCTCGCTCAGTCAAGRGGAAGCCAATATGAAGTTGTACAACATCCAATCAGCAGGCACTACAGCTCCTCCAAAGTGTCCTTGACTTTTAAATCCTGATTCTTACGTATCAAGGGAAGTTCATGTGGACAAACTTTTAAAACACGTCTTTACGCCTAAAAACACTTTTATATTCTTGTATCTGCAACTCTAATTCCTGAACCTAGACTGTGTAAAATGTAAACAAAAGCAAATCTCAACCCCGTATTTAATTCATAATGAAACAATGTGAACAYAGCCAACATTAAAACTAAAGAAACATTTCTGRAAATAATAATTATTTATTTATTTAATGGCAGCAACATGTCCCAGAATTGTTGGGGMAAGGTGTTTACCACTGTGAAGCATCGTCTGTAAACAATTAAGAACCAAGGAAAGCAGCTGGGTTTGTGGAGGAAATGCTYCATTCTTGTCTGATGAAGGATTCTGTTCAACAAACTCTTTTTACTTTTTGCTTTATGCTTTTTTGTTATCCTAAAACCTGTGTACACTGTTCTGCATCGATGGTGCCCTTCCARATGTGTAAGCYGTCTYTGCCATAGACTCTAATGCACCCGTATACCATCAGAGAGGCATGCTTATCCAAGATTTACACTGCGTTTGCACAGTTCCTTCACGGCACAAACTCCACAGTGAAAACAAGCTGTTTATAGTCAACAACAGCATTTACAGTACATCCACAGGGTGGCGGCGAGTACACGGTCATCTGCGATAATTTGACCAGAGTAGATTTTCAGATTAAGTGCGGAGGCAGTGTACAAAGATCATACCGCACCAACAGGAAATATAAACAAGCACAACATCCTTATTTTCAAAATAATTCACTGAAAAGAGTTCAAATTTTCTCAAAATCCTACTTATATTAATAAATACAGGTATATATTTGTATATTTATTGTGCAGTATATACACATGGATATATTTATTATATGGTGTATCATTTATGGCTATGCCTATCCACATTATATAAACAAAATGTGTATTTTATTCTGAAATCTATTGTCATGTCTTCTTGCTCAAGTCGTAGTAGAAGCATTGGTCAGGGCAAAGGATGTGAGAGTGGACCAACACAGCAAATTAACACTATTGGTGTTGATTTAACACTACTGTGTGCCTTTGGAAATGAAGAACTACAGTATTTTATACCACTCATCCTTCCMGGGCATGCTTYTCGGAGCACCTCTGGGTTTCACAGCRGAGCGGACGCAGTGTAAATCCAGGTAGGTCACAAATGGTGGCAAAGCAAAGCGAAGCTGCAAGTAGTGTGAATCCACAACCTATCTTTAAAAAAATTGACAGGGCTTTTAAAAAGTTAGAAATTAGTTCATTTATAATGGATGGAGGCAAAATGGATAACTGTYCTGTGGTCGGACAAATCAAAGTCTTTGTATGTCACAAAACACTGTCAAAAGAGGCGTTGCTGTTTTCATATGCAAAGTAGTTTTATGTCTCAGCATTTAACATGATTACTATGCTCTATTGTGATCAAAATGCGGATGCCTATGATTTTCTTTTCAAATTGGTGCATTCTGCTTTTTATTGACATTTTACTCTATGTCCCCACCTTTCATTGAATATAGTTTTTCCAGCTTATGTGCACGTGTATATCAGTCAAAAAGCACATAAATCAACACGTATTTCTTTAGAGAATCTGAACCTTTTGAACATGAAATAACCAGCATGGGCTCATGTCATGTCTGTTTATAGCCTCGATGACAAACACACGTTTTAATTTCAAATTTCTAAATTTGAGGCAGAACCTGTTTATTCAAGTTTTTCTTGACAGAAAAGATAAATCAAAAGGATGGAGAGAAAATAAAGATTTCACATGTTTGCATGGTGAGGGGAAGAAAATGGTTAAATTATGCAGTAGATATCTAACAATGACTAAGTTTAAAGGAAAAATAGATCCAAAAGGACTGTGGGTTGCAATGGACGGGTGGACGAGTGAAGGTGGATGATGTCAGCTTTTCTGATATGGAGTCTTAGAAACAACAAAGCTAGTAATCTTCTGTCTGGTCTTCATGAGAACATACAGTTTGTACAACTTCAGATAATCACACTCGTGAGTTGAACTTGTGTGTGTGAGCAGTGTTTGTGTGTGTGTGTGTGTGTGTGTGTTTACCAGGAAGATGAAGTCAGGTCTCTTGTTGTTGAGTGAGACGGGCGAGCGGCTGAGTGATGTCGACGTGTCGTCGGAGCTCTGGGAGGACGGATGGCGGAACGTCTGACCGGTCAGCTTGGGGTCGTACAGCTGCTCCTCAAATTCTGGTACCAGAGGAAAAAGAACAAAATCGATGTCTTTCCCTTGTGCTGGACATCTTTTAACACATGTATAACACTGTCTCCCACACCGACTACTTTCCATGCAGAGCTGTTGCTCCTGTTCCTCCTCAGCTCAGTCAGTCAGTCTGGGTGTAACTCCTCACCTTTGTTCATTAACTACATTTCTCTACTCCCCTGTGTCCTCCTTTTAAATATCCAAACATCTCTCCCTCTTCAGCGGGCTTAAAATCTCCCCCTCAGGCTTTTGTAAACAGACTCCTAACCCCTACCCCCACCCCACCTTCCCTAACCACAGGCTTACTCCCCTCTCGCAGATGCCAGCCAATCCTTTCCCCCCAAAAAACACACTCCTGACCCAAACCCCTCTCTCCGCTGAGCTGTTTCACACACGTTCCTGTGCGCGCACGCACGCACGCACGCACGCACGCACGCACACGCACACACACACACACACACACACACACACACACACACACACACACACACACACACACACACACACACACACACACACACACACAGCCCATCCTGCTGTTAGCTTCACAGTAAACCAGCAGCATCACTGTGGTAAGAGTTTCCAGTTGAACTTGCTTTAACACGGATGTTTTGCTCGTGGCGTACGGTTGCTTGACATCAACAACATCAGTCACACACAAAAAAAAAAAAGAAACAGACATTAAAAAATAAACTTTTATCAATAACAGTTTCTAACAGGGGTGCACTGATTACAGTTTTCTGGCCAGAAGTCTGACCTGTCCATTCTGATTTTTCAAATAACTGACATTGTCGGGTATTATAAGKTCACAATACACCTTCAATGTTCCAAGCTTATTTGATTGAAAACACTGAACAATACCCTTGAAACAATACAARCTTGTTGTAACTGTCTGTTTTCAGTCCTTGGTAAAAGAGAAGCCGATCTTTTCCRCCGATCTTATCCAAGTAATGGCAGATCTCCGAAAAATAAGATTATTAATAAATTGTCCAGACAGTTTATCGGTGCACCCCAAATTTAGAACAAATATACATGTGTGATGCCTGATTATGTTATAAAAAACGAAGCAAAATATGTTAAAAACACAAGTTTAAAACTGACATACAGTCTTACTGCAGACTGTAATGCTATGACAGGCACATAACATTTACAACAGGAGACCCAGAGTCAGCTTCCTGGTGGTACTAGTAGAAGTGTACGAGTTGGACTGAACCAGCTCAAAGATGAAGGAGAGTCTGTCTTAAACTAGAGTTGGGTGACAAATCRATCGWATCAATTAATTCAGATTTGCCATTTATAGAGATTTTATTTTGGGAAAATTGGGATTTTTTTTTTCCCACCAGTGCACTCTTTAGGGCTTCTGTAGTTCAGAGGTCACCCCACCTGTCCCTCAAGACACTTGGTACACGACAAGACAACATGACAGCTAGCAGAGAGGATCTATTTCTCAAAAAAAACACTGTTTCTTCAGTTTTCTGGAACTGGTTAGGTTTTTGAACCTCAGACTTGGAGCAACAATCACCTCACTGCACAATCTGTTTGAAGGC